ATACAGCAATAAAACAATACAATAACACAAAGCACAATAACAATAAATATCGATGAAATAAAATTATTATTAATTAAATCGCAAGAATTTCGTAGCACAAAAAATATCGAAAAATTATCACTTGTCAACACTGACACTTCACGCTTCACTTATAAAAACTCAACGCTAAAGAATGAAAGATGATTCGAAATAGAAATTATTAACTGGTATCTCCTTCTTTTATAAGTATCTAAATAAAGAGAAGGAGTGGGAGTGAGTAACGCTCGGATCAGATTGTTTTGAATTCGTCGTCAACCAATGAACGTGCCGATGTCAAAAATCAATAACGATACTAGCGCCATGGGACCTGTGTCTGGCCGCAGCGTAACTCAAAGCCATTTCTTGAATCCCAGTTACATTACTATAGGGGATATATTAGGTCTTTTCCTTTGCATCGAAAGTGTAGCACTGAGCTACACCACTTCTGAAAATATCGTTCTAGTGCTACGTTTGAAAAGTACCTCACGGAGCGGAGTAGAGCTAGTAAATTTTTTAGTCACGTGATCATCGAGCAAATCGAGCTTATGTGGAATAAAAGAACGGCTATGGATTTGTTTGTGTTTCCCGTATCCGGTTTTCATTAAAATAACAAACGTAAACCTTTCTTTTAAATAAAATTTGATCTCTCGTCTCGTGGTTTTTGTTGCAAGTTGCCAAGTAAAGTAAATTTTTATCTGTGGTATTTTTCGCTTTCACTAGAAAATAAACCATGTTCTCATTTCTGTCTGACATGTTTTATAAATATTTTTTTTTAATAACCAAACACATATGAAAAAGAATAAACTGCAATACAAGAGACACGAACAATGTCTATACATCTCAGAAAAGTACATCTACTTTGTCAATTGTTACAGAAATTCCATTTACTCCGAAAGCTCTAAAATTTAACTCGGAGTAAATAGATCTTACTCGATTTACCAGCTCTGCATTAAAAGACCACGTAGCAGATCCCATCGAGAAGCCGCAGATGTATTAAAAGAACGACTTCGAGTAAAAAGAGCAAAATGAGGTAATTTTCAAACGCAGCATATTTATACAAATTGTATGGATGGAACAATATTTTCAGAAGTGACGTAGCTCAGTGCTACACTGTCGATGCAAAGGAAAAGACCTATTGTGACAACAACCTTGCATATTGAATGCAGTTGTTACGGATGACGTGCATAGGAAATTTCATTGTAACTACTATACACACTTCTTTAAAGAAAAAAAGGTGTATGGTCGTACTTTTGTTTTATTTAATTTAAATTTATTGGTCTACTCGTATCTCCAATAAGGAGGTAAACAAGAATAAAACCATATAGGTAACTAGTATAACTAAAATAATATTATACCTACTAAAAACAATATAAAACTGGTAAACATTTTATCTTGTAATGGTTGTATTTTTATATTATTTAAAATATAAGGACTGTAAACATCTGTTTTTCTATTAATTGATTAATTACATTTATATTTTGAAAATATATATTTATACAATACTCGTTTTGTTTGATTTTGATTCTACTGTTAGTACATTTGAAAATAAAAATTTGATCCATAACATAAATAAAGCTATAAGTTATACAAAATAATATTTGAACAAAATTATAATCATTTTTAACCGACTTCAAAAAAGGAATATTTTGGCTTTCCTGTCTGTATACAGATTATTTATTGATCTGGCAACCTGGGGATACGACATGCGTAGGCGGAAAGTGGTACGGGTCCGCCATATAGGCCTTTTCATAGATATATAACCAAGACAGATAGGATTATTTACAAAATTTTTGAAGAATGAACGGTGGTGTCCGCGGTAGAAACTCAATAATCGGATTGAACATTGATGTCAAGTTTACGTGCTTTTAACTATAGATATATATAACCAATACAGATTACACAATTTCTGAAGTCAACGCGGATGATCCTCGACAGAAATGCAATATTTGGATAAAATTAAAATATTGATGCCAAGTTTGCGATGTTTTTAACTGTAGTAATGTTATTGCGTTTGCTTGAATTACTGTTAGGTCTTTAAATTGTCCAAAAAAAAATAATGTCTGACAACAGCGGAAGTAGAGTAGACCGCAATTGTGGAGGGTCGTATATTGTTTCATTCATAAAAATTCCTTCGATACAGTACTAGTCCAGGAGCCAGTGAATTTTTTCGTATTTGTTTTCCCGGTCCGTGTATATTTAAATAATCTATTCCCGGTGAACTGTATATTTAAAATGGAACGCCAATCTATTAACAAAAGTAAGCCAGATTGAATTCGCGCATTACGTCACATCGATACAAGTGAGATTGTTTACAAAGTGCCTTTGCAGGCCTATTTTGCCCATTTCAGGTATTTGTTTTTAAATCATGTTAAACTAACACAAAACTCAATTATCGATCACAAACTCACCAACATTTGTCGTATAAAATCGACCGATAAGGAGATGGCACATAAAATTCAGTTATTTTAAATTGGAATGACGGTATTTCGGGCTAGGACGTTTCGTCCATGCAGCCGGGCATGTGAGAATGCTTCGATTCGTTACATCGCGACTGTGAAATATATTCTTGCTGTTTATACCTCATTTAATAAATTGTATATAGTCAAACATGTAAATAAAGATATTTTAAAGTAAAAAAAAGACTACGGAATTTAAAGTTAATTTATTGTGCTCTAATTCTTGAACAAGTTAAGTTGAATATTTGTAATAAACGAAATGGAGTTTTCGTCTAGTCGAAAAGGCAAGCGAGTTCTTATTTACAATGGTTTTGAATAAATACATTTTCGCACAAAAAATGGGATAGATATATGGAGGTGCCGTGAAAATCGACAAACTAAGTGCCATTCCTTAATAAAAACGAAGGACAAGGACATTGTACAAGATCCAGGCAAACATTGTCATGATTCATGTCCCCAAAAAGCAGAAGCAAATATCGCCAGAAGCCAAATGCGAGAAGCCATGACAGCGGTGAATGCTACATCTCGCAATGTTATTGGAGATAAATTATCAGGAGTAAGCAATGATGCACTTGCTTATATTCCAAAACAATCGTCTCTTGCCAGAACACTTCGAAATTATCGAGCAGAGAAGCACTTGCCAAATCCATCTACGATGCATTTTGCAATTTCTGACAAATACTCGGACTTAGTGATGCATGACTCTGGAGTCGAAGATCAAAACAGAATTTTAATTTTGGGAGATCGCGAGTTATTGTGCGAATTAAACCAAGCCACTCTATTCGGTGACGGAACATTTGATAAAGCACCAACGATGTGTTATCAACTTTATACTTTGCATGCCAAAGTAGAACATTCGTATCCACCATGTGTGTACATATTGTTACAAACTAAGAATGAAGCAACATACCTACAGATGTTTCAAATTGTAAAAGCGTTAGTTCCCAGCATGGCGCCCCAGAAGATACTTTTAGATTTCGAGAAAGCCTGCATGAATGCTGCAGGGCGAACTTTTCCAGAAGCCGAAATTAAGGGATGTTATTTCCATTTGTGTCAAAGCCTTATAAGAAAAGTTAATGCAGTTTGTTTAAAATCGGAATTCGAATCGAACATCGACACAAAATTAAAACTAAAATCCTTGGCAGCATTATCGTTTGTGCCGTTACAAGATGTAAGAGATAATTTTAATAGCCTTGCAGAAACTTTTCCTGATGAAGAGAGATTTAACGACGTCCTTACATATTTTTTTTCAACTTATATACAAGGTGCCGTCGGAAGAAGTCCACAATTCCATCCGAGAATATGGAACCATTACGATGCCGCTCTTGATGAAACGCCAAGAAAGACCAATTATTGTGAAGGGTTTCATAATGTAATAATATGGAATAAAAATATATTACACTAAAAACCTATATGCATTTTACGTTTGTACCTACATTATTATATAAAAAAAATATAAACACAAATCCATGAATATATTAGTACAAATAGTTGGCGATTATAAAATTAAAATAAAATAAAATACATTTATAAATTAACTATATTTATAACACTCATCGACTCTCTCCTGGCTAAAATATTACTTATCTATCTATTCGACTCTGTTCCGTCTATTTTTTGCCTTTAGCCTTCTTCTGACACTTCCATTCGTTCTTATTCAGTGTAGTATGCATAGTTTTCAGAATATCAAGTGTTATACCTATCTGATGCTTGGTCCTGCAAAGTTCATCTTCAGTACACCTGCTTATGTGACATCTATCTGGACATCAAGTTTGATTGAACACCCGCTTCTTGCCTATTACTCTTATACTTAACCAGAACTAGCTTAGACTCGAACGCATATGTCTAATTCGGCCAAAACATAGCCTTGATACACCAATATCTATTTTACCGCTGGTTTCATTACAAAAAACTGGAGCAAAGGGTAAAATTATCTCTTGTCCAGTACACTCGTATACACTTGAGTATTAGCCTATATTATTTTTGATTGAAGACGTATACATTTAAAAATGTCGTTTACTTAAAAATAAACATTTAATTTTAATATTTTATTTAACTCAATCAAAACATTAAATTATTATTTTCCATTTATATATGGCTTATACCTTACCTGTAAGTACTATAGTAGCCATGTAGTAGCTGACAGTGTTGCCGTCAGTTGTCGCCACATATCACATACTTCGATTTTCTTTTACCACCATATTCATTAGTAACATACGTTTTATAAATTCATCTTGTTAGTGATTTGTTGACATAAAGAGATAGAAATTTAAAATGAAGTATTGTATTACTTCGAATGAAAAAATCGATAATACAATTTTCTAACCTAAAAAAAATCGTGATTATATGTCAAACGAAATTGAACTTGCCCTTAAGACCCGGTTACATTGTAATCTTTATTTATTTTTTAAATGTGAGCCAACACTTTACTATAACTTCAATGTTTGTTGGGGTGGTATAGTAAATAAAATATGACATAATTTGAAAATAAACTTTTATTTATATAAATTTATTTACATTATTTTGGTAAAGTACATTGGTGTAAACATTTGAAAAACTTACCTCGGGAAACATATCGCAGAAAATGAAAAACTTTGTTGATAAAATAATTATATATTTTACAAATGGCAGTGAAGAAGGCACATTGCAATTACTTTTTTCTGCGCAGTTGACTAGAGCTTATATGTAACCGAATAAATTTTATTAATAAATGTCAGAGAAAAAAAAATGTTCTTAAAAGCACAATATAAATTATTTTAGAAGTAATCTAGCACCATTTTAGTTTTTAATAACATATCTTTTAAAGATAATTTTAACTTGATATGAATTAATTCGTTTGGTCATTTTTTTGAGTAATTGCTTTACGGTAAATTCATATACATAACTTATATCTATATTCTATACAAAAATCTTTACATGCTATTTTGTTATACAAAAACATGGCACGGCAGTATTAAGGAAAGTTACAAAGCTTACTATACAAATTGTGCAGACTCCTACTTGATTATCGAATTCCAATTTTGTATCACGACAGATAATCAATTATCGAATCTGACAGGAACACATAGTCGATGTCTTTTTTACAGCATTTTAAATGTCAACACTACTGTCGTCGATTTTGATAAAAAAAACTTTACAAACAACGGAAATTAGTATATAAATAAGTCTGTGTTCCTTGGACAAACCAAACATGTCTTACATTAAATAATTACACATTCACTTTAATATCTCATGAATTATAAAAAAAAGTAGTATTGATTAGTAAAATTGCTTGTAAATTAGACATCTAAATAAATTTTTTAACTTTATTTCCTAAATCGGATGTGAAAAAAATTACGTATTCCTTATACAGACTTGGCATCTACCAATTCTGTCTCTGACATTTCCGGCTTTTAGTGTTTGTTTCTGAGGTTTCTGGAACTGTTGGTTGGTGTCGATGGTTGCTAACCAGAAACTGAGAGTGTTGGAGAAATAGTGGCAAGAACCTTGAGCTCCATTACATTCAATAAACGGTGTTGCTCTGAAGTCTTCGAGACATGATCCAGGACTGGAGAGCGATTGACCACCTCCTTCAGCTCCAGCGGCAGTATGCTGAAAAATGATTAAATAATATTAGGAAATGAGTAAAAATTATTGATATTTATTATCAGTCGGAGTAAATTTTAAGTAGTTTTTTTCGGGTAATAGCATATAAAACGTTCTTTTCAGGATTTATGAACTAACTAGTAATGTAAAATATTAATTTGTGAACTGCACTAATGTTACAAAGTAATACATACCATAACAAAACTGTAACCTATCCATAGAGAGCTCCAACCATATGGACAATCTGGTAAAGCTAATGACTGACTGTGGACAGCAATCACATTGGCAGGTGCTTCGCATACCACACATCTCGAGATATATTCTTCTATCTGAGATTCTTCTACGGGCATCATTGGGATAGCTGCGCTTGTAGACAGCCAATAAGATTTGTCGTTACGGCTAGCGTAGTTACAAACGTTGTTAACATCACAGAATACAAATGGCATAGTAGAGAACTTCCTGATGCAGGAACCTGCGTAACCCAAATCTTGTGTATGTGCTTTTTCATTTCCTTCTACATAAAGTAAAGAGTATCCCTCCCACAATCTAATGTGGCCATTTTCACATCGTGGTATCTCTTTGCTTTGACTGTGTCTGACGAGGAGTGAGCCGGTGAGATAATCTGGTATGTCCACGCAAGCGGCACCTGGTTCTCCTTTAGGTCCAAGATCACCGATTTCTCCTTGAAGACCTGCTTGACCTTCTATACCAATATCCCCTTTTTCTCCTGGGAAACCAGGCGTTCCAGCAATTCCGGGGAAGCCTCTGTCACCTTTATCTCCCTTTAACCCTGGTGCTCCGGGAATACCATCAAACCCTGCTGGTCCTCTTTCTCCAGGAATACCCGGATTACCTTAAAAATAATAAAATTAATACAGTATAGTATTACCTAAACGTACTATAATAATTATTCATAATTTATTTTATAAATATATTACCTGGAGGTCCTCGTTCTCCTTTTAGACCAGGGAAGCCCTGAGGTGCCGGTTCACCCTTTTGTCCTTTAGGTCCTGAGACTCCCGGACTTCCAGGTTGCCCATTTAATCCAGCATCTCCTTTGAGACCAGGGGGTCCCATAGGACCGCTAATTCCATTTCGGCCGTCGAAACCTCTATCACCTTTTTCTCCTGGATAACCTGGTGTGCCTTGTAATCCTGTCAAACCTACAATAACAAATTAAAATAAAAATAGTAATATAAAGCGAAAATAAAGACTGCTGACCCCGATCTCCTTTTTGTCCTGGTGCTCCTACAAATCCAGGTTCTCCTCGATCTCCCTTTTCTCCTCTACCACCTGGAAGTCCTTCAATTCCTGGTTGACCCGGTGGCCCTATTGGTCCAACAGGTCCTGGGCTGCCATCGAATCCTCTGTCTCCTTTTGGTCCTTGTAAACCAAGCGGTCCAGGAGGTCCAGGAGGTCCTGTTCTTCCTGGTAAACCTTGAAGACCACGTTCGCCTTTTTCACCTAATTGTCCCTGAAGTCCTTCTCTTCCATTCTTTCCGGGTATTCCTGGTAGACCTTTTTCACCTTTTGTTGTTAATCCTGGTAAACCTGCAGGACCAGCGAAGCCTCTTTCGCCTGCAAAAAGTTATTTAATAAATTACTTTTATCCGTATAAATAAATAATTGACAAACCTTCATGACCAGGTGAACCATCTACTCCTCTATCGCCTTTAATTCCTGGGAATCCTACATCTCCCTTTAGTCCTTGTAAGCCTGCAGCCCCAGCAAAACCTCGATCACCTTTTTCTCCTTGTCTACCTTCAAGACCGAATGGACCAGGTTCTCCTTTGTCTCCCTTAATTTGAATTAAAGGACCTGGTGGACCTCTTTCGCCGAAATCTCCCTTTTCGCCTGGAATACCAACAGGACCAGGCGCACCAGGGCGTCCCAATTCTCCTTTTTGTCCTTCGTATCCGTCGATACCAGCAAAACCTTTATCTCCTTTTTCGCCTGCGAAGCCCGCAGCTCCAGTAAAACCTCGGTCACCCTTTTCTCCTGGTTGTCCTGGTAATCCATCCATTCCTGGTGGACCTCTATCTCCAGGGTAACCTCTATCTCCTTTTACTCCAGGGAAACCGGGTTGTCCTCTGTCGCCTTTAATTCCTTGAATTCCTGGTAACCCATCTATACCGGATGGACCGGGTGTGCCTTTCTCTCCAGGCGCCCCAGGTATTGTTATTCCTGGTAGCCCAGCGTCTCCTTTTTGACCAATGTAACCTTGCTGTCCAGGTAGTCCTTCAGCTCCTCTCAATCCAGGTATACCGTGTTCTCCTTTTTGTCCTTTTTCAGATGCTGTACCCGGTTCTCCTTTTCTTCCTAGATTTCCAGGACGGCCTTCTACTCCCTTTATACCATGAGGACCTGGGGGTCCGGGAAGTCCTGGAGGACCAAATGGTCCGAGGTCTCCTTTTTCACCTGGTAATCCCGCTTCCCCTGGCATTCCAATAAGACCTTGGGGACCCAAAGGACCGGGATAGCCTCGATCTCCTTTTTCGCCGATTCGTCCCGGCATACCATCCATTCCTGAAACGAAAAATAGAATTTTTAACAGTCGTCGATCCTGATTAGAATTATTTCAGATATTAATTTACTTATGTACCTTATTTTTTAGATTTTTCTTTTTTTCCTAATTATCAAAATACTGTACCTGGGGCTCCGGGTGATCCCGGCCTTCCAATCAATCCCTTAAAACCTTTAGGTCCTGGTGCTCCTGGAATTCCGCCTTCTCCTTTCATACCAGGGAATCCTGCTAATCCCGGTCTTCCTTGTTCTCCTCTCAATCCCCACTCTCCTTTAGGTCCCATTGGTCCTGGTCTGCCTGGTGCTCCGTCTAAACCTGGTGGACCAAGTGGGCCAGCGTCTCCTTTTTCTCCTGGCGGTCCTGTTAAACCATTTTGTCCTGGGAATCCAATGTCTCCTTTTTCTCCCATCAAACCAGTGAATCCATCATTACCTGGAGGACCTGGTTTACCAGGAAAACCTGGTAATCCCTTTTCTCCGATTGGTCCCATAGGTCCAGGGGGGCCAGGAGGACCGACTGATGGTATACCAGCTTCTCCCTTAGTTCCTTTGCCACCGGATAAACCAGGTAATCCAGATGTACCATCCCTACCGGGCTCACCCGGGAAACCTAATGGACCACGTTCTCCTTTGTCACCACGAGGACCTGGTAAACCTCTACGACCAACTGGCCCGGGTGGACCTGTTTGTCCCTCTGGTCCCATGGGACCAGGATTTCCCTGATCTCCCTTATCTCCTCTTCCACCATCTCGTCCATTATACCCTCTGTCTCCTTTCTGTCCCATTATACCCTTGTTACCTTTCATTCTGTCTACCAAATTTTCTGGGCATCTTCCAGGTTCACCTGAAGGGCCACGTTCTCCTGATATACCTGCTTCTCCTTTGTCACCCTTCAATCCAGGATAACCTTGTTCTCCTTTGACGCTTTCGCCTAGTTGACCTTTATTTCCAGGTATTCCAGGTTCTCCGTTTTTACCGTCTAGTCCAGGGAATCCAACGTAACCCCTTTCTCCTTTTTCTCCAGCACGTCCCATAAATCCTTGATCTCCCTTTGAACCAGGACGACCTGGAAGACCTTGTGGGCCTTGTGGACCATCTCTGCCTCTAAAACCTTTGTCTCCTTTTTCAGCTTTCACTAAATCACCAGGTACTTGTGCATTTAATCCTGGTTGTCCCTGCAATCCTGGGATACCATCTTTGCCAGGCACACCCTAAAAATTTAATAATAATGATTATATCAGAATCTTAGCTATTAAAAAAAATAAACGTTTAATTAGAAATTAAAAATGTTTCCGTTTTCATCATTACCATTGCTAATATCGGATTATTGAATAAGTTTTTGTTAAATTTACAAAAAATATTGATTTGTTCATTTAAAATTTTACAAAAATTTTTACTTTTTATACAATTTTAACCTATATATTCTAAAAGATGTAACATTTTAAAAGTCTAATTATAAAATGTTATTTTAAATGTGTGCCATCTGGTATAATTTAATTATCGCCAACACACAATATTCTAAAGAAAGGAAAATTTCTTGAAGAGGGAGTACCACTAACCAAACGATCTCAAATTAGATTTGTAAATTTCATTTTATTATTACCTTTTGATCATATCGGTGGTGCATTGGCTGTTAAAGTAGTAAGCATAAAAAGTATATAATGTCTTTATTAAATATCTCAGTAGAAATACTATTCAAACCTTTTGTTAATTATTAGTTTTTTTAATAGTAAAGTTAAATATGTTTTTATGATTTATTCTGGTTGCTAGAACGGCACAATATGTATAGTCACTAGTTTTTATTATCTAATTGGTTCATTTTTTTAAAAAAGTAGATGTTTCAAATTTATATATCGTACAGAACCACGTGAAAAACAAAATCTATTTTTGTCTAGCAAACGAATGGAATCAGCCACAAAGCCACAAAGCCATAAAGTCATAAAGGCATGAGCCATAAATGAACCGCTGTAATCTGAACGTTGGTTCCCGAGTATCAGAAATCTCTTGTGAAACGTAAGTTAATTGGAAAAGCGACAGCTACAATTCCAAGCTTCATAAGAAGAAAGAGTAACCGATAAAGGCGTTGGTTTCCGAGGGGCAGAAATCTCAACTACCTATGGCTATCTAGAAGTGGTTAGCTAACAAAGCAAAAATGTGGTAATTACTAGTGACTAGAATTATTTATGTACGAATCAAAATTTGATACCTGATAACTGTGAATAATTTGTTTTCGAAAAGGTTTCTTGTTTTTTAAATAAAATCATTAATTTTTATAAGTATATATGTTGAATCTTATTTTTTAAAGGTCACAAAAATTCTCTTTCATTCACTAAATTCTGTATAATTTTTATTAACTTCTTTTTATTGATAAAGCTAGAATTTATAATTCTCATTAGCTTTTAAAAATAAAAAAGAGAATTATTGGTGCCCAACATTTCCTAGAAAGATTACTACCCTTAAAATTATCTATTTGAAAAGCCGAATTCGCGACAGAGAAAAGTATGTGCTCATTTTTTTTTTTTTTTTTTATTTTTAAAGGTAAGTAACGTTTGTTATTAAATTTCACTGAGCTAGTAAAAATCTCTATAAGTATTTTGAAATTAACATTTATCAAAAGGGTAACGAATAATATTACAACATGGCGGGCAAAGTGTCAGGGTAATATTGCAAATTGGAGCCCAACGTGTCAGTATAATATTTCAAATTGGCACCCAACGTGTTAATATAATATTGCAAAGAGTTTGTAAAATATAAATAATGTAAAATATATTGCCCATCTTTTGGTACATTACACGTTTTACTTTTCAGTTGGCAATACTATTTTTTTCCTAATAAAGAAAATAAGAAAATGTGTACCTGTACATATTTAAAATATATCGATTATTGAATATGATTTAGAAATTTTGAAATTTTTTAATATATTTTGACATTTATGTTTAACAAATCTCTAATTTGTCAGTTTCACTTTAAATTTTTTAATATTGTACAATTATTTTAGAAATATTTTATAATACACTTACTGGTTTACCAGGAGGGCCATCTCTACCGGGAAGTCCATCATGACCGGCTAATCCTTGATAACCTGGTGGTCCTGGTGGACCTCTCGGTCCAACTGGCCCATCTCTTCCATCTAAACCTCTATCCCCCTTGTCTCCCTTCAATCCAGGCAAGCAATCAATACATTGGCCTCCTCTATCTCCCTTGTATCCGGGTGTACCGGGAGTTCCGGGAATTCCAGGGCGTCCTGGATTTCCTTTCTCTCCTAGGGGTCCTGGAGGTCCTGTCATACCTGGTATTCCACTAAGAGAATCTCCAGGGATACCCCGTGGTCCACCGAAACCTTTTTCTCCCTTTTGACCTTTTTGGCCGTCTCGGCCTGGTTCTCCATCTTCTCCTTTTGGTCCCTTAAATAATTATAATTTTTCTATCAATGTGATTATGAAATACGTTTTAATACTTACGATAATTGTTGCCCCTTTTTCTCCTGTTGGTCCTCGTTGTCCTTGTGGTCCAATAGGACCCGGATATCCTGTTGGTCCGTCATGACCAGGAAAACCAATAGATCCCGGTTCTCCTGCTTCTCCTTTCTCGCCAGCGGCTCCTTCTGGACCCGGCGTACCTGGTTGACCTGGACCTCCTACGGGTCCTTGAGGACCTCGTGGGCCAGGTTCTCCAGGAAAACCGTCCATACCTTTTGGACCCACAGGACCAGGATAACCTCGAGGTCCTTGAGGGCCCGGTCTCCCAGGGAATCCTTTTCCTCCGCCAGGTGGACCCGGCGGTCCTGTTAAACCGATATGACCAGGTGGTCCGTCTCTGCCGGGTTCTCCTTTCAATCCTGGTTTTCCTGATAATCCTGGTATACCTGCTAATCCTCTATCTCCTTTTTGTCCTGGAGGACCTGGCGGTCCAGCATAACCATCTCTTCCCTAAAAAGTTTTTTATTTGGTAAAAATTAATAATAAGATGAAAATATTTATAGATGTATTTATGGATTTCAGTTAGACATTTAATAATAATAATTTAGTGATAAATGTAATGGTGTTAAACTTACTCTAGGTCCAGGTGAGCCCGATAAACCTTTTTCTCCTTTCATACCAACAGTACCAGCTAAACCATAATCTCCTTCTGGGCCTGGTTCTCCTTTCTGTCCTGGAAAACCGTAGTCGCCACGATCTCCTTTATAACCTTTTTCTCCTTTGGAACCTACAGAAGATGTCGTATTTTGTTCTTGATGTCCATCCGCTGGTTCTCCTTTTTGTCCTGGAGGTCCGAAATTTCCTTTGTCACCTTTATGACCGAAAAACCCTAGACCTGGGGCACCTTTGTCACCTTTTGGCCCTGGGGGACCAAGAGGACCCTAGAAAATAAAATATATACTAGGTGTCGGTAATTAAATCATTATGAGTTAAAAAATACAACTTCAGATTTTTTTATGTTTTATTTTTCGATAGATCGAACTTGGATACTTACAACTAATCCGGTTTCACCCTGAGGGCCTGGCAACCCAGGTCCACCAGCGGGTCCAGGATTACCACTAGGACCTCTGACTCCATCTCGACCTGGTTCTCCTTTCTGTCCTTTCAATGTAATTTCACAGTGAGCTGCATCCCCCTTTTCACCTCTGATACCCATAGGACCTGGAAAACCACGCGGTCCAGCTTCACCAGGAAAGCCATCAACACCAGGAAGACCCTATAAATACAAATGTATCAGTTTATGTTTAATTCAAAAATATTTTAAAATACGTACGGAGTCTGGAGCGTAAACTACAAAGGATATTAACACAAATTTTAAATTGTAGCCAGTAATGACTTGTGTCTAAAAAATTTTTAATATCATTTGAAGTTTACTCACCAGGCTCCATCCCGTTGGGCATGGCCTGCTCCCTATGTAATTCTAAATCACTCGCACAAGCTTTTATCAGTAATACCTACATCAGTTCCATTACATCCATCCATACCGGGAATTCCAGGTGCTCCAGGTGGTCCCTGTAATCCAGGAATTCCATTAAGTCCCGGAAATCCTGGTACTCCTGTTTTACCACGTTCACCCTTTGGTCCTCGAGGGCCGTACGGACCCGCTTCACCCTTGTCACCTTTATCTCCAGCTATACCTTCTCCTCCAGGAAAACCTCTCTGACCTTTCTCACCTGGTAGACCAGGTACTCCCGGAAAACCCTAGGAAACGGATTTACATTAGCTATGATTTCTAAACACAGAATTATGTTTACTTACTCTATTACCTTTCTCTGCAAAACACTTTGGAATGCACTTATCGTTACCGGCTCTAGCAGCAGGAGAATCAAAAATATCATAACTACTAGAATAAGGTCTCCTGCTAGCGTAAGGACTGCTATCATATCTTCCACCTGCTCTAGCATTTGAGGAAGATTGCCAAGAATTTCTAGTTTCGTTGTATTGCGAAGATCCAGATTCGCCTTGAGAACCTGCTCCATATGTTCCAGATTGCGAATTTGATCCGTATCCCCCTGATTGAGATCTTGAGCCATATCCTCCTGATTGAGAACTTGAACCATATCCTCCTGATTGAGAACTTGAACCATATCCCCCTGATTGAACGCCAGAGCCTTGTGAAGCTGCTTGGGAATTAGAAGAACCATATCCCCCTGATTGAACACCTGAACCTTGTGATCCTGCTTGTGAGTTAGAACCGTAAGATCCTGATTGGTAGGTGGAACCACCAGATCCTGACTGTGCAGATCCTGATTGAGAACTGAAAGTGAAAATGATTTTTTTGAGAATAATTGGGGAACTAATATTGTTTGTGCGCTGTTGTTATAATTTTATCATAATTACTCTGTATTAGCTCCTCCATAATTCGTTCCTGATACAGAAGTTGAACCATATACTGCTGTTTCTGGTTGTGATTCTGAGTTGGAACCGGCTGAGCCAGTTCTATATGTTCCTCCCGCTTGATTGCGCGAATAATATCTTGGGTCATAACGAGGGTCTTGTCGTGGATCGTATCTACGAGTACCGTATGAATCTGTACGACCATCTGGAGGAATTGAGGTAGAATATGGATCACTGCGTGGAGTTGATGAACCAGTGGGTCCATAGTTGTAACGGGCGTCAATTCGTGCTGATCCTGAGATAGAGTTTGGATTGGTTTCAACCTCGTTTATCGATACAGCATAGGGATCTTCGTCGTCATCCTCGTTACCATTTTGGTCACCCCTTAAAAATAAGTTAAACATACATAAGTAAACAAATAACAAGTTTAAATTGTTCTTTTAATGGTTGTAGAAAATGTGAATGAGTAATAAGCAACTACAAAAAAAGTGAGTTTAGGACCTTTTTTTTAGTTATAAATTGATGAAAGTATAAAATAATACGATAGCTTGTGCCTACTGTTTTAAAGTCTTCAATATATTTGTAATATTACAAAATGTTTATCGACAAACTCGTAGCATAAAAGAAAGGTTACGATTTTGAAAAACGATAAGAACTATTACGGTGTTAAATTTTCAGGTTTGTGAAGCATTGTCTTTTCTTAGGCTAAACCACGTAGAAGTGCTTCACATTGTTAGCCTTGATTTGTAGGAACCATTATATGACGTGTTATGATAGGGGTTTGGATATTGTTTGAACATCAAAATAATTTTTGAAAAAATAATTTGGCCCTTTCCTCTTCAGTCTATCCATGTAAACATATGTTAATCGTTAAGACTGCCAATGTACAAATATTTGGTTTTTTACCCCTTAAAGCCTACCCATGTAAAAATATTTGGTCCTTTTGAATCTTAAGCCTGCTCATATCAAAATATTTAGCCCCTTTGCTACCTACGCATGTCCTTGTGAAATATTTGGGCCGTTTACCCCCTTAAGCCTGCCGATGTCAAAATATTAAAAACCTTTAAACCCTGTACAAAACATATTTGGGCACTTTACCTTATTTATTCTAACTTTAAATTTAGATATAAGTTCTATTCTGGAGTTTCTTAAAACTCGTGCAAAAATCATCATTAAAGAGTGTTATTTACGTAAGATCCACATTTATTTGGACTTTTGATTGATTTTGATTTTTAGTTACAATAAATAACCACTCAAATAAAATATTTTAAGAGACATTTAAAAAAACTTTTTTTACCTGTCATCATAGTTGTCTTCTCCATCGTATCTTGAATCTAAATCGTTTTCATCATAATTATCTGGATTATTATTATTGTAATTGTTGCTAAATCTACTCCTACTAACATCATCGGGCCTTCCGTAGAGACCCGTCCTATTTTCTGCTGGAAAATTACTAAGAAATTGCTGTAAGAAAAAAAAAACATAATTAATAGATTAAAAATACGTTTATATGTTTCAATATTAAGAGTGTCCCATTGTCACAAAAGTTTTATTGGCAGGAATACAATTTGCCGTGTTAGTTTGGATTTAATTGTTTTTAAAAAACCCTGCCTCGTTTACAAAATACTTAATTGGCGCAGTCAGTAGGATTTGGAAGGTCGCGGAAAAATTGTGAATAATCGGTTCTTACGGAAAACAATTATTTTGGGACAGAAGCCCAAGAGAGTGTCAAGTTTCTTTGTTCTTCTTTAAATTTCTTTCGAGGACCGGCAAGATAGTAGTTAAGATATTTTAAGAAAAAGTACAGTTGTTATTTAAATTGGTATTTTATAAACGACTATAATCTTGTGAATGATTTTCATAATTTGTTGGGAACTGTGATTTTTTTCCTATGTGGCAAATTAGGTCTAAAAAATATGTTTATTATTTTTTCTGTTAAAGTTTGTGCACTAAAACCTGAATTACCAATTTTTGATCTAGTATTCCTTTATTTCTATGAGCCACAGAAGAGAAAACGACCTTCTGGTGTAAAATTTCGAGAGCAAAAAAGTTAGAGTCCAAGAAAGGGAGAAGATGGCTGGCAGTATGAAACATTTCTTGCAAAAAAGTCAAGTTTCCAACACTGAGGAAGTTAAAAATACAGTTTCTGAAGCGGCGACACCACTATCTTCTGCAACATGTGAACCATCATCATCATCATCATCACTTATCGAAAATATATTCTCTATAGAGTCGACCATTTCAACAAAGACGGCTACAAGTGACACTTCTGACGATGAAGTTTCTACTGAAGCGGTGACTGAGAATACTAGTATTCTTATATCAGAGGATCCCGGTTTATGGCCCAGAAGCATTACCAACGACGAAGTCAGAATATTGGTTGACTTTGATAGGAAACAATTATCAATTTTTAGCTAATAAAGACAAAGACAAAAGAAAATTTTCAAGTAAGTACTTTGTCAGAAAACTAAGAAATGGAGAAGAAGCAAATAGAATTTGGCTCATTTGCTCAGTTTCGAAAAAATCGATATTTTATTTTTGTTGTAAAATTTTCAGTAAGACTTTCAATAGTTTTTCTGATACTCATGGTATTTCTGATTGGCAACATGTGTCCTTAGCAATAAAAAGATATGAAACATCAATTGTACATAATGTTCACATGAATACATGGATGAATTTAAAAAAAATATTAAAATTATCCACAACCGTAAACGATTATCACTTAAGGGTTTTAGAAAATGAAAAAAAATATTGGCATGGCGTTCTGGAAATAATTGTTGCAGTTGTCAAACTTTTATCCAGATAATATCTAGCGTTCCAAGGTTCTTCTAAAATACTTTTTAAATTTGATAATGGAAACTTCCTCAAAGCTGTCGAGATGATTTCCTCTTTTGATCCTGTGATGAGAGAGCACATTAGTCGAGTGCAAAACTTACAAATTCTTTAAAAATGGCCCATTATTTAGGCTATCAGATACAAAACGAAATTATTGAATTAATGTGTTCTAAAGTAAAAAATAATATTTTGAATATGGTTCGCAGTTCCAAATATTATTTAATAATTTTAGACTGTACACCGGATACAAGTCATACAGAGCAAATAAGCCTCGTTTTGCGTTATGTCGTCCTAAATGACATTTCTAAAAAGCGTTCCAACATAGCAGAAACTTTACATTCACTGGGATCTTTTCTAATTTAAAATAGGAATTATTTGGCCTTATGATGGCAATGTTAATACATTTCCAACGTTAATAATTTGATTTATTTTTATACATTTTTATAACAAGAAGATTCCAAAATTTAAAAAACAAAGGAACAGTAGCTGTCAATATAAAAAAAATTTCAGAACATTCAGACCGCAAAAAAACCCCTTATTTTCTTAACTACGCAGGGGTTATGTGGGCGAATACAGCTGACATCTTAAACATTTTCTTATCATATTTTATTGCAATGCTTAGCTTGTACTTTTGTTGAATAAAGTCGTATATTATCTTTTCTTCCATAAAATTGTTTTTTGCAAACCCTGTCTCAGTTTCAAAATGTTTTTGCTCGGATAGGTAAATTTTGTTTTTTTAAATGCACATTGTTTTTTCGAAAGTCATCAGTTTTTTGATAGTGCCATTAAAAAATTTTTGTGTACTAACAACAAATTCTATTTTTTTTTATTTGGAATTCACATGATTTTGTTATTTTAAAATGGTATTTATTTCATAAGAGTGCTTAATGTCAAAACTTTTTATTTCAGTATTATTGTTATGTAAAAGACAATAAAATTTGGTGTCTGAACGCAAAAAATGTAATCTGATTCGAAAATAGCTTCTGAAAAGGTTATACTAAAATTGAATGAATATTATACAGGGTGTCTGTAAAAGGTTTTTACAAAAACATATCACATATTCCTTAGACCAAAATAAGTCGATTTAAGTAAAATTACCTTAGTACAAAGTTGCATCGTTTGGGCTCCAGAGGGCCTTGAAGTTACAATTTTTAAATCGTTTTTCCCATATAAATTTAAAACGGCATATGCGATTTTGCTGAAATTTGGTATATTGGTAGAGTTTTATGTGGCAAAAAAAATGGTATTAAAATTATGTCCGATAATAATACATAGGCGTAGAACTTGATTTTTTAAATAATTGCACCTTTGAAAATTCTACGCCAATGGAAGAAAAGGAGTTTGAGTATGAAATTTAGATTGCGCAACTCATTTACTTTAAAAAAGGTACTCTTGATAAGACATGATTACTCTCATGGTTTTGACGAAATTTGCATTTTAGTAATTTTAGAACATAAACAATAATTATGAAAATACAAACTTTGTCAAAACCATGAGAGTAAATCGAGTGTTATCAAGGGTACTTTTTTGTAGTAAATGAGTACCCAATCCAAATTTCATACTCAAACCCCTTTTCTGCCATTGGCGTAGAAATTTTAAAGGTGCAATTATTTAAAAAATCAAGTTCTACGCCTATATGTATTATTATTGGACAAAATTTTATACGATGAAAAACATAACAATGTACTTTTTTCATATCTTCTTCAACACCTCTAATCGAGACTTTTAACAAAAATACTCGATTCTTGCCATGTACGATTTTTTGAGGAATATTAATTATTTGCCTGCAATACGTATACAAAAACATTTATTGTTGGTTTCCATAGTTTCATCTAAATAAAAATATTCTCAAGTTTTAACACCTAATCTCTTGTTAACGATTGAAAGTGTTCTATCTGACTCAATAATTAAAAAAACAAATGCGTGGTTTATTAATATTGCTGTACAATATACCAATGCAGAATATACCGATATGTTACTGACATTAGGATTTTGTGAAGGAAATGCTCGAGAGAGTGTCAGGGTGTACTCTGAATTAAGCACCAGTCGAATTGGAAGGGAACTAGGAGTAAGTAAAGATGTCGTTCATAAAGTGCTTAGAGAACAATTGCTATATCCATACCATAAGAAGCCAGTACAAGAATTATTAGTCCATGATCCTCAAATTCGTTTGGGTTTTTGTCGATTTGTTAATATGCAAAGAGAAAGAGATCCAAACTTTGTCAAGAAGGTTCTCTTTACCGATGAAGCGGGTTTTACAAGAAGAGGTATAACTAATACCCATAATGAACATGTTTATGCCGTTGAAAATCCGCATGCTATAAAGGTAAACCATTTGTCATACTTCCACGAAGATTAACTGGAGAAAATTATTTGGATTTTCTACAAAATACGTTGCCAGAATTGTTAGATTTACCTCTCCAACTTCGGAGAGATATGTGGTTTATGCAAGATGGAGCTCCACCACATTTTTCTTTAAACGTTAGAAACCACTTGAATGAACAATATCCACACAAATGGATAGGCAGAGGTAATGACGCACCTGTAAACTGGCCACCACGTTCCCCAGACCTAACACCGATGGATTACTTTTTATGGGGACATCTGAAATCCACAGTTTACAGGGAACCTGTAGAAAATGAGGAACAACTCTGGAACGTATTCAAGATGCAATAAACAATCTTAGAGGTGATGAGGAAGTTATGGAAAGGATACATTTTAATTTTCTTCGACGTATAAATCTTTGTATGCGTGAAAATGGTGAACATTTTGAACAATTTTTGTAAAATCTCTATTTTGATTATGTTGTAAATAAATATTTTTGTGAAACCTATACACTCTAAATTATTAAAACAGAAATTTAGCGAAAACCATGAGAGTAATCTAGTCTTATCAAGAGTACCTTTTTTAATCTAAATCTAAATTTCATACTCAAACTCCTTTTCTTCCATTGGCGTAGAATTTTTAAAGGTGCAATTATTTAAAAAAATCCAGTTCTACGCCTATGTATTATTATCGGACAAAATTTTAATACCATTTTTTTGCCACATAAAACTCTACCAATATGCTAAATTTCAGTAAAATCGCAAATGCCGTTTTAAATTTATATGGGAAAAACGATTTAAAAATTGTAACTTTAAGGCTCTCTGGAGCCCAAACGAAGCAATTTTGTACTAAGGTAATTTTACTTAAATCGACTTATTTTGGTCTAAGGAATATGTGGTATGTTTTTGTAAAGACCTTTTACAGATCAGTTCACATTTAGTGTCCCTTCCAAATTTTTAAAAATGGATAATTACAATTACTTTAATTTAAAGAATAGAGTTGGGAACAACTAATACAAATTAGGTTATAAAATAACAAAATTTCCTGGAAGTGATGTAACAGTAAAATTTACTTTTAGACAGATATACCTACTTTCGTGTGATAATACTCTTTAAACCTGCCCTTTTTAAGTATTTCCCTTAATTTATTGTTATTTTACCCCTCATTTTATTCGTATTTATTATAAATTATTTCTGTTTTGAGATCATGTACTTTATTTTAAAAAATTACTTGATGTTATATTAATACTACCTACCATGTTTAAATTATTAATAGGTTTGTGACTATAGGTTATGTTATAGCAACTTATAGCAACTTATAGGAAATTTATGACTAATTATTATTTACAATTCGTTGGTTGAATCTATTTTGCGATATGGTATAATGTGGACTATATGTTATTGCACTTCAACTCCTCAATGTAATCCAAAATCGTATAATTAAAACCAGCATTATATAAAAGAGTATAATAAAAAAGTGCTTTGTATAAGAACATCTGTCTTGTTGTACCTTTATTTATGGAAAGCCGGAATTGAAATACACTACAAATTATTTGCAATAAATATCAAAAGAAGCATACAAACATTTTTAAATAATTTGACATTTAAGAGCAATTCACACATCACATCACAGTCTCATAGGTAGGACACTTCAGTAATTTTTAATTGTGACAGGTAAACTGTGTCGGTCTTCTATCCCCACCTATCTCGACACCATGGGGATGAGTAACTGTTTTTTTTTTGTTTATCAAGGAATATACGTTTTTAACACCAACGTTCATAACTTCCTCCTTTAAGAAAGCAGTTAGGTAACTTATTAATCAAAAAAATTAATGGGTATTTTTTCTTACATCGCTATATATTTTAAGTGACACAGTTTTTGAAAACCCACCGTAAAGGCCATTAAAACCACGAAGATAATTGATCGTTTCTGAAAGATAATGGTGAGTTGTAAATATTGTATGGATAATGGGTGGTCCATCAGCCAAATTTATTGCAGAAATTCAGAATAAAGTATACCGACAGAAGAAATTGGTTGTATATAATTCGCGATTCGACAGCAACTGGTTATTTCGTAAAAAAATATATATCCTATCGCAGTTATCTATTTGTCCAGTTAATGTAAGTGAAAATATATAAGAAAATTATAAATGTTCCTTGCCATTATTATACATAGAGACTTGAAATAACTGAGGAAGGGTTTCTGCAACTGCTACAAAATTTCCTTGGTTCAATCGGTCATTCTTTTTATTTTCAATTGTTTAGCACTACATATGTTTCAGAAATTAATTTTTTTCCATCTTTGGGTGCAGTCAAAAGTTAAAATTTAAAAAAAAACCCAAGGGGACGATTACAACAGTTTTTTAAAAATTTTAAAATAACAGAACCCCATCTTCTTCTTTTATCGTGTGAACCTTCAAATGCCAGACTAGATGTTCTTTTCCTTCTTTTTTTATTCAACTCATACGTTAGTGTTTTTTACTAAAAATAGAAGTTTCAGTTTCACAACAAGTTTATTTAAATTCTATAACTTTTAATACAACAATGTCTTTAGATTTTTCGTTACTCTATCATCTGTTTATTATTACTTACATTCATTCATATATCATCCTTAAGAGGAATTTAAGTTGAAGTGATTTACGGTTCTTGTCGGAGAAGAACAAAGTAGGAAAAATACAAAAATTTTCGGAACTAATGATATTAATGAATGGTCCACCCCCGACCGAGTGGTGTTGACATAGGGACACATCTGATTTTAAAATATACAACAGGTGGTATTTGAAAAAGTAGGTACTTACCCCGCTAACACTACCCAGTATCCCTATCACAACGACCAGGAACCTGAAACAAGAAATTAGGTAGGTTTAGTATTTAATTTATGTATATTTAAATTTATGGTATTATAATAAATGTGATGAAAAAAATTACATTTATAAAAATCATTATATTCGTATTGTTAATTATGGTAATTTGACTATAGTCTATTTTTATGTATGAGAGAGTAATAAAACAGCATTTCTAATGCAAAACTTAGTACGGTCATTTTAAATATTTTTACAGAATAATCTAAATATTTCCTAAAATTGTAATAAATGTACCTGAGCTATTACAAGTTTTGGGTCTTTTATTGGTCCTTTATAAACATAAGCTGTACAGAACAATAGAAAATGGTTTGGACAGGCTAAAAGCCCTGTGTATTAAAGATTACATAGCCGTATCTTAAGATTATTTTCAATAAGTACCTATTTGCCAATTTTGTTTTATTTTAATTCCAAGAATTTTTTACACTAATCGAATTATAAGTAGATAAATACCTTCACAACAAATTTCACCGAAAATGCGATTATAGGTTTTCCATTTAGTAAGGAGGTCCAAGTTGTGTATTCTTGACAGTTTACTAAATGTTTAGTTGCAACCTGTAAGGTGCAGTGTGAATTCTAGTGTGATCATGGAAAATTTGGAAGGGCCGCGTAAACGACAAAAAATCGGTCCTTTAACAGTTAATGAAAAAACATTAATATTTAATTGTTTTAAATCATTTACAGACAAACATTTATGTAAAAGTGGAATTAGTTAGTAGTACGCTTGGTGTTTGGCGAAATGTGGCGAGTTTCAAACAGCACATAAAGCTCCAAGAAAACCAAAATTTCAATTAGAAAATCTTTTAAAAGAAAGACTTCTTTAGAAAAGAATTTCCAACAGTAGACAAAGTTCTTGCCACGGTTCGAGATGATAAGGATTACCCTGAAATGAGTCGAAGCACACTATGGAAACTTTTAAAAGAAATAGGTTTTCTATGGAAAAAGCATTCCAGAAAGTCTATTTTAATAGTAAGAAGCGATATTGTAGTATGGAAAAGAAATTACCTAAGGACTATAAAATAAATGAGAAACCAAAGAAGAAATATATTTTATTTAGATGAAACATGGATCAACGAGGGACATAAACCAAATAAATTTTGGCAAGATGAAACTGTTACAAGTCGAAGACGGGCTTTTTTAAATAATTTATCTACTGGTTTAAATCCACCATCAGGAAAGGGGCGCAGACTAATAATAGTACACATCGGTAGTTCAAACGGTTTTGTTAAAGGTGGTTTATTGACTTTTGAAACTACTCGTACCGGTGACTACCATGAGGACATGAATGCTGATGTCTTTAAAGAGTGGTTCGAACAAATTATAGATCTTCTTCCTCAGAACTGTGTAATAGTAATGGATAATGCAAGTTATCACTCGAGACTTATAGAAAAAATGCCCACAACCAAGTGGTTAAAAAAAGATTTACAGAATTGGCGAAATTCAAAGAATATTAAGTTCCATCCCAGTTCTGTGAGAAAAGAACTGTATCATTTGTGTTCCCTTCATAAAGCGAAATTCAAAAAATATGAAATTGATGAAATTGCAAAAAATCGTGGGATGACGGTGGTTAGATCACCACCATATCATTGCGAAGTAAACCCGATTGAACTGATATGGGCACAGATAAAGGAAGAAGTTTCAAGAAAAAATAATTCTTTTAAAATGAGTGATGTTAAACAGTTGTTTTTGGAGGCTGTAAATAATGTGAAGCCTGAAAACTGGGAAAAGGCAGTAAATCATACGATTAAAGAAGAAGAGAAAATGTGGAAGTTGGACAATATTACTGATGAAATGATCGAGCCACTCATTGTAAATATTGGTTGCGACAGTTCATCTTCTGATTTCGATTCTGATTTGGATTTGTAGGTAAGAAGTAGTTTTTATATTAAAATTATTATTTATAAACGTAACGTTGTTTAAAAGTCAAAGTTTAAACCCCTATACCTACATAACCCGTTTGACACAATGTTCTTAACATACCTTGCGGAAAAATAAAACATTTTAGAAAAAATTGCACTTTTTTACCTTCAGCTGTTTAGAAGTTATAAGCAGGTTAATTTGGTGAAAATATGAGTGTATACTCGAGGAATAACTTCTAAAAATATTTTAACTGTCTACTAAAAGAAGTGATACGCCTATGGATTACGAACGCTTTATTGTTTTAATACTCTCTCATACATAGAAATAGACTATAATGAAAGAATTTTGAATAAAAAGAGATTAAAAACATTCCATAGTAAAAGAGAAAAACAAATGAATTTAATAAACACATTATTTTAAAAAGATTAAATATGTGAAAACAAAAATTAATGAAACAGTCAAAATATCTTAACAATTTAAAATCATACCTAATCAATTTAAAAGTTACCAAAAGCAATAGAAAACAATAAAATAAAATAATAAATTATTTAAACATTTCTTTAATGTAATAACCCAATAAATTAGTTATGTCAATTCGCATTACAATTTTCTGTTATAACTCAGGCAGCTTTTTTTGGTTTTATATTAATTATACAGGCATTTTAATACATTCACTGAAGAATATTAGAAATACATCACTGGGTAAAAATTTAAATTTTTATTTATGGCCAACAATTTGGATGAGATAATAGAATATTTTGTATTAAATAATTGAATCATGTTAATTTGTAGTTTTAATTGCTCCAAAAAAAGCGTGCTAAAATCAACGATGACAAAACAAGAAAAATATGTAAAATTTCAAAGAAAAACATGTAAATAAAAACTACTAAAAAAATCTATGAATGTTTAAAATATACACTACAATACAAAGTTTTAAAACATAATTAATTATAACACATTGTAATATCTAGAAAATTGGTGCATTTCTCTAATTCTCGCCAACTACTGCTACCGCTGAAATTTTATGATTGTTAGGTACCTCAGAAAAAATGCGACGATACATACTTTTTAGTCCAAGCGGTGGGTGGTTTCTATTCGCAAAAGGTCGGAAAGCAATGAAATTTGGTGGGATGGTAGACATAAATCTTCTGATACTACAGTCTATTCGCTATACTTACGCAGGTTTCGGATTAAAAATTTTATGAGTATTTCCAGGTAAGTACCCGAAAGTTTGACCTGTTCTCTGGGGACATATCAACTGGTTAAATTAAATGAAAAATAATGTACAACTTTTTAATTAAATAATAATGGAGAATCTTTTGTATATTTGAGAGCAGAATTAAACTTCTTCATTAATGGAGTCTAATGTGGCTATTATACACCTAATAATAATTTTATATTACACTTCACACAGAAAATATGGTCTATGTATAATAAGAGGGTTATTTAGCTCAAATAAAATATTTTCTAACATAAAAATTTGTTCCATGTAGAGAATTTCAAATCAAAAATAAAAAAATTGAACTTGCCAACAAAAATGAAAATCAGTCATTATCATCCAAAATATCATCATCATCCAAAATATCATCATCATCATCACTGTCATCACCATTAATTGTTATTATGATTGGACTTATTTCATTTATTTCCACCAATCTTCTATTAGTTTCTCGCACTTGGATATACAGTTCCGCCACACTTCTGGAGTTGCAATTGAAAGTGCTTTTCGCCAAGTTTGCCGAACTGCGTCATCACTATAACCATTAGGCCCAATATGGTTGTCATAATATTGTTTTGCTATTCCCCATATATATTCAATGGGATTAAACTGGCAATAATGCGGTGGCTGACTTAAAACTTGATGACCGTAACTTTCAATAATCTGATCCACAACAAAGGTTTTTGGTTTTGCGTGTATATTTGCCAAGCGTAATAATTCTGATTTTATTATATATTGAGGAAATGGTATATGTTCCTTTGTCAACCATTCTTTAATTTTATCAACAGTCCAAGAATTCGTTGTACTTTTGTTTAATACTTCAGAATGGTAAGGTGCATTGTCTAAAATAATTACGCTGGGCTCATTTAAACCTAGGAGAAGTTTTTCATGCAACCATTTTACAAACATTTCTGTGTTCATATTATCGTGATAATCACTGGATTTTGATTAAGATGAAAATATTAAATCAACACCTTCTATAAAAACCCGATTTCCCTCCTGCATGTAAAATTATGTGTCGCTTCCCTTCTTCATCGGTATGGTTGATGGACTTTACGTTATCATCTTGCCATATTTTCTTGGTTGCACCCCTAGAAAATATCCATGTTTCGTCTAAATATATAAAATTCGCCCCTTCTTTAAATTTAGAATATTTTCTTAGAAAGTTAATTCTCTTGTGCACCACAGAACTTCTTTCACAAAGGGCCTTTCTGTTGTCCTTTTGAAATTTGAAACCCAAGTTACATATCACTTGCCATAGACTTGTTTGTTAATGTCGTAAAATTTTCTATCTATTAATTCCGAGAGAATTGTATTTAAGGTCACATGTTCCTTGTTGGCCCTCACTCGATAAATGGTATCACGAATTTCAAATTTCTTTCCATCTAGAATATCTTTCGTTTTCAATGATGGGCGAGTTTTGCGGTGATCTTCTTTCGGCAGTTCACTATTGTGATTTTGTAATACTCCTCTTAATTTGGTTTCACTAATTCCTAGAGCATCGCATATGCGTTGTTGTACAGACATTACCGATTTTAAATGACCGCCATTTTCTTTTTCATCCGTAAAATACTTATGTACACTACAAATTAGACTATCTACATCTAACACATGTCTAGGCAATTTTAAAATTTTCACTAAATTTACAATATGCCTACAGTGTCAACACTTGCAAAGAATCAATTCAACTACAATATTTGTAACAAATTTAGTACCTACCCTAATGTTATTTTAATTTAAATCTGACCATTAGGGCAATTTTACCTGATTTTTTGGGAAGAGGCTTATTGGACCTGGTTATCAATGACTAATTTGCATAATTTTGTTAATCCGAAGTATAGCGAACAGACTTTTTTTGTACACCTTTCTGAAAATAGCACCGTTGTGGTAAGTGCTATCGA